TGAAGAGAGCTTTCCCACATCCCCTCCATGTTGGTACTAAACGTTAAGAACAGACTTTGGCCAACGCCAGGCCAGTGTCACGGGATGGTGGAGAGCTGTTAGTGCAGCCCCATCCTGACTGCGCTGACATGGTTGACCTATAGGGGGCGGGTGAGAGCCATTTCTGAAGACAGTTCTCAAAGTCCCTTTTCCTTCCACTAAAAGTCGTACAAAAGGAGGAATCAGGAGGACAGTGTTGGGTTGGAATAGATTTAAGTGTATTCACGTGACACGTAATAGTAATTGTCTTGAAGTTTCCCTTACACCAAGCACTTTCCATATGCGTCCTCATTTAATCCTCACAAAAACAGAGGAAAATATTATTACCACCTTACAGACATGGAAACAGATTCAGGTTAAGGAAATTGCTCCTAAGAGGCACACGTCAACACCAAAACACGTAACAAACTTTCACAGCTCTAGCAGCGCTCTCCCTCCTCTCTGGCCTTGCTTGTCCTCCATCGCCCCAGAAAGCCTCACTTGGCCTATGTGGTTACCAACTCCCCAAGCTCATCCATCTTACTGAATAGCAAGACCCACCTTCCACTCCAACACCCCAGCTGTCACCCAACTTGGATTCAGTCCCAGCACTTCCACAAACCACAAAACCACAAAAGTGAACAAACCATTAACTCCTCTGAGTCTCTTTCTCTCTTTCATCTGTAAAACTGGAAAAATACCCTTTCCATAAGCATGTTGCTGGGAATGATAAGACATTATGTTCCAAGCTCTAGTCGTAGTAGCTGTTTAACAAGTAACAACAATGATGATTGCGTGTATTGTTACCGTTCATGACAAAAAGGAGAGGTCATGGTGGGTTACAGGTGTCCTGCAGGCTGTGGGAAGTGGAGATTTGATGGTAGGCTGAAATCTGAGGAAGGTCTATAGATGGCAGGTTAGTATTGTATGTTTTAATTTCTTGATTTTGCTCATGGTGTTGTGGTTATGTAAGTGAATTCTTTGTTTTTAGGAAATACAAGTACTCTGGTAAAAGGACATCCTGTCTGAAACATGCTCTTAAAGGGTCCAGATCTATGATACATATGGAGGGTAAAGCAAATATGGTAAATTTAAAGAGTCAGGATGAAGGGTATCCTGGAGTTTCACTGTACCATTCTTGCAGCTGTCCTGTAAGTCTGCAATTATGGGGATAGAAAAGATTGTAGGGCAGGGCGCTGACGTCATGCATGCAGCATCCACACTTGTGGGGATGGCGCATTTCTCTGGAGTCCTGGCCCCCCTCATTTGCTGGGCCCTGCAGACAGAACTGGAACAAGGCTGCCCATGACAAATGGCTGAGGCTCTCTAGGTTCGCCCCCACTGGGCAAGGCAGGCAGCCACCCACCTTCGAGGCTTTGCTCAGCTCTCGGAAGGCACTCAATTTAGCTGCACAGTGGAACCCTCTAGGGAGCTGGATAAAAGCTGGCTGAGGGGCATACTCCAGGAGGCCCAGCCCAGGGGGGAAACCAGCCACTCAGTGGCCTCGGTCCCCATACCCCCTTGCCCGGCCAGTCAAGGCCGGGGCAGCAGGGCTGTTTTCACTCTAACCCTAGCCCAGCCTCCACGGCCTGCCCAGGGGGGGGCCTGAAAGGGGCCCCCAATGTGCTCAGGCCTCCGAGGGAGCTGAGCGCATGTCACTATTGTTTTCTTTATAAAAGTATAAAAGCCTTTTCTCTGGTCACTTCTTTGGATCTTCATTCTCTCGTGAAGGCGCCTCTGTACAGGTAAAAATTTAAATAAAACCTGTATGCCTTTCTCCTGTTAATGTCAGCTTAGTTCCTAGGCCCAGCTGGAGAGCCAAAGAGGGCAGAGGAGAATTATTCCTCCCCCCTACACCTTCTTAGTCGTTCACCAAGTCTAAGGAGCGTGGACTTGATGCCATCAACTGGGGTCTACTAGCAGACCCAGCCCCCAGGAAGGCTGCTGACTACCACCACTGCTTACCCACGTGTCCTGTGCTCCCACTCGGTTCTCCAGGCCACAGGGAAGACAGGCACAGACATGGCTCTGCCACCAGCAGAGAGGGAACAGAAGATGACAGAGCAGGAGAGGACCGGGTATACTCTAAGGTTTACCTGGAGGCAGTGGGCAGGAAGAGATCACAGCCAAGGAAGACAGGAGGCAGCTGGGAGCTCCCTGAAATAGAGGGACGGGCACCCTCAGAACTGCCTCTCCTGCAGGGGCTTCCCAGGAGCTGTATTTGTACCACCAGGCACCCCTCCCCTGCTCCGGATCTAGGGATGGATGTGTAGCCCACTCTGGATACATGGTCACTTAGGCAGGTGACTTGACCTGAGGCACCCTTACTCCTGGGGTGCTGCCCTGCACAGAAAGTGGGAGAAAGTCTGCAGAATAGGAAGGGGGGAAGGGGGGCAGGCAGAGGCCCTGGAAAAGGGGCAGAGCCGGCCACCATGAAAGAGGAGTCTGGACCTCACAGCAGCCTGGTCCCCAGGACCTCTGAGAGCAGAAAGCAAGGACGGGAGTCATCATAAAGGAAAAGTCACGACTAAGAATCTGAAAGTGCAAGCGATAGAGCCCCCTCCCCACCCCCCTCCATCCCCACAATCCCCCTTTCCACATGGGTGCCAGGAAGTCTGAGCCAATCAACACAATCCAATCCCTATTGCCTCAGAGACTGGTCTACAGATGGGCACCTGACCCACATCTCAGCCAATCAATGCAGACCTTCTCCCCCCACCGGCAGGGTAGGCCGTCCAATTAGAGCAAAGCCCAGGACTTCGTGTTTGACACTTGGGAGAAGCAATGGGATTTGCCCAGGTTAAAAAGGTCAGCGAACCCCAAACAGTATTGGTACAAACTTCTGCTTAAACATAGAAGATGAAATACATATGTTTATATGAGCTTCACTAGAGTGACACAAAGAGGGCAGGAGGAGAATGGCAAGAAGTGATAGGCTAACCAGGGTAGGCAGGTTTAAATTGGGGAGAGGCGGGGTGATGGGGGCTTAGCAGAGTGAGGGCTGAAGCACAAGGTCCCGGAGCTGCAGGGGCGGGTGGGGGGGGGGCGGGGAGGAAGCAAGGGGAGCCCTGAAGACGCTCCTCCCTCCTGCACCACAGATACTTCCCCCAGGAAGGTACCATCCTCTGCCTCACCCTAGGGAGGAAGATGCAGGACTTTCCTATGGAGACTTGAATGTTCAGAGATTCTGCCACTTTGAGGCCCCCGTAAAATCACCTGTTGTTTCAAGTAGTCCCTGTTGGGTAAATGTCTCCTGTGAGGTCACTCCCAAGGCTCTGACCTGTGTGCAGTGTGGCTGCCCTTGGATCAGGTGACATTCCAGTCATCTGTGGCCAGGGAGGCCACAGGGCTATGCAGCAGGACCTGGGACTTCTGCATGAGGACTGCCTTGGCCCCTGTCCTTGGGGGATGGTGAGCCTTTGCAGCCCAATCCTTCAACATCCCCAGTCTCAGTGAACCCATTTGAAAGTGGTAAAAATAATACCACCCCTGCCTACTGCCCCAAGACTGTCTGATCAAATGACAGAATGAATACAAAAGTACTTTGTGAATCATAAATGTTTTAATCAGTATAATTATCATGACAATATCTCCTCCATATAAATATATTTCCTTTCTTTAGGAATAAATCTAATAAGAAATACATACGATCTATAAGAGAAAAATAATGAAGCTCACCTGAAGGGCATAAAAGAAGACTTCAACAAACAGGGGAACTGGCTACATTTCTGAATGAGAAGACTTGGCATTATAAAGATGTCTGTTCTCTAAAATGGATCCCCAAATCCACAAATTCAGTGCCTTTCCAATGAAATTATCAGCAGCATTATTTTAGTGAAATGGGAAGAGTAGATTGTAAGATTTATATGAAAGATAAAAGCCTTATGGTAAAGAAAATTTTGTAGGAAAATAAAAGGAAGGGATCCCTTCCCACCAGATATCAAAAAACTGAAAAGTGCCAACTGAAAGAATGCGGTATCTACAGGAACGGACAGAGAGACATCCAGCTCATAGAGCTGAGGCCAAGGCAGGCAGAGTACCAAGATCCACTTTTACATTTAGACAGTCTGTTGCTGACACAGGCAGCAAAATGAAAAGAAAGAGAGAGAAAGAGAAGAAAGAGGAAGGAAGGAAGGAAAGAAAGAAAAAAAGCACCCAAATGTGCCACTTCCCATCTTTGTCCCATGCACCAGAAAGGATGACACCCAACCAAAGAGAGCTGGATGCCTGCGCCTCAAGTCACCCCAAGGCATCACGTCTGGCTGGGAGCCCATTCTAGATGGCAGCTACACCCTGGGGGCAGGGACAGAAAACCTCACATCTCGGAACCAGAGATGAGGGGAAACCCTCCTGATGCCTCCTGGGCAGATGTGGAAGAGAGTGGGAGGTGGCCTCAGAGCAGCTCCTCTCAAGTCCAACCTCAGTTCCTGGAGCATCACAAAGTGTTCTGACAGGCTCAGATTAGCTGTGGTCCCAGACTTGGCCTGGTGGCCTTTGAGGACACCTGCAAGGTGACCAGAGCAGAGCCGTTCCCTCACAACAGAGAAATACAACAATGGAGCATAAACTGTGGTGCAGTTATCAATACAAATCAGTGGGGAAAAGGTAGCCAGCAAATGTTAGACTCCTACCTCATACTATACACAAGCAAATTCCAGAGGGGCCAGAGTGCTGAACATTTTTTAAATATTGGAAAAATATTACAAGGAAATGTGGGAGAACATTTTTCTAATTTTGGGTGGGAAATGCTTTTCTTTTTTAAAAAAAAATTTTTTTAATTTATTTTTGGCTGCGTTGGGTCTTAATTGCTGCGCATGGGCTTTCTCTAGTTGCGGTGAGCGGGAGCTACTCTTCGTTGGCAGTGCACGGGCTTCTCATTGCGGTGACTTCTCTTGTTGCGGAGTATGGGCTCTAGGCACGCGGCCTTCAGTAGTTGTGGCGTGCGGGCTCAGTAGTTGTGGCGCACAGGCTTAGTTGCTCCGCAGCCTGTGGGATCCTCCAGGACTAGGGCTCGAACCTGTGTCCCCTGCATTGGCAGGCAGACTCCCAACCACTGTGCCACCAGGGAAGCCCCCAGAAATGCTTTTCTTAACAAGACACGAGCTTCAAAAAAAGAAAGCAAGCCAAATTCATGAAAAAGAAATACTTCTGTGTGTTAAAAGACACCATTGATCAAGCCATATGTTTAGCAATAGGTAATACAGCATATTCAACAAGAAAAGGATTAATAGATATTATGGATGGAATATAAAAATAGTTTATACAAATTAAAAGTAGAAAATTCAATAACAAAACAGTTAAGTAATATAAACAAATCATCCTTAGAAAAAGGAATACAAATACCATAAACATATGAAAAGGTGTCCAGCACTTTGCAATTCAAATGATAATGAGATGACAGATAAGCAAAAGTTATAAAGATTCATCACCTCAAGGACTGGCCAGCATGGAGTCAAACTCCTAATGATGCTGGAAGGATTAATTGGTGAAGCCATTTGAAGGGGCCAATGTAGTCCTGTCTGCACAGTCATAAAATGTGCCCAGCATTGGACCTAGCAATTCAGCCTCTAGGAAGCATCCAGAAGAAACACATGCACGTGTTGACCCTGGTAAAAGGCCAAGATTTATAACAGGGGAAAACGGAAACTGCCCAGATGACCATCAATACGAAATTGGTTTAAAAATATTTCAGCGTATCCATTTGGAGAGGTCTCACCGGCCACTCCTTCCCTCTCCCTCTGCTGGATCCCAGCAGAGCTCATGTTTCCAGATGGTAGTCAGGGAAGGCAGTGACCAAAGCTTGAAGGTGGCCTGAGCACGTGTGGCAATGCCACTGGCTAAGCCACCTGCTCCCTCTCCTCTGGTTCCCAGACTCAAGGGGGCCTCTCCTCCTTAGGACATGAATTTGGAAGACCCTGTGACCCTGCCCTGGGAACTGGACAGGTGGCAAAGTCTGCGGTGATAAGGCGATTGGGCTGTCGCTATGGTGATGGGGATGGAGGCCTTTTGCCATCAGCCCCAGTTTTCTGCATGGCAGCTCTAATGACAGGATGGTCAGCCCTGCAGAGGCTGGAGGGTGTGAGCGCAGAGGCCTGTTCCTGGTTGCCATGGCAGCGTGGGCCCTCGCAGGAGCGCAGAAAGCCCTGGCAGGAGAATTCCCCACTCCATACCTGGTCAGAGCAGGAAGTGTTGGGCCGTGACTGAGCCTCAGGGAAGCAGGTTGGGGTGTGAGAAAAGAACAGTCACCCACAGCTTAATTACTCAAAAGCTGTCCCCCAGCCACAGGAGGAAAGAAGACCTTTTCTGCTGAGTCTGTCTAGAGAACACCACGCTGTCACAGCTCAGCACAGCCCGGAGAGATAGCTGACCAGTGCTGACCAGCTCTGGAGCCCGGCAATGGCCCTGCCCCGACGATACCTGGCCTGACAAGGCCTCAGTGGGGAAGGGTCCCGACTAGGACCCAGAAGAGAAGGCTGGCAGGCTTGCTGGAGAACAATGAAAAGGAGGAAACTCTGTGATTGAACCTCAAGCCAGAAGCCAGCCAGAAGGTGGACCATATTCTACCAGACACTCGGGCCGGCCGTGACCCTTGGTTGGGAGAAGCCTGGGGATATTTCTGCCTTGGAAGCCCGTTGGGGAACACTGAGGGGTTCCAGCTCCCCCAGGCGGGCTGTGGTACAAATGCTGGATGACAGAGCCAGGATGGAGATCGCCAAGAAGGAAAAGGTAGCTCTCTGCATTCGGTTTTCTAGAAGTGCTTCTTACACGTTCCTGTATTCAGTGGTTTGTTTAACTTGACCAAGTGTTTGTGCCTCAGTATCTGATTGTATGTGCAGGTGCTTTAGGGACGACCTGCTGGGAGTGAATTATGAGGCATTGACTTTGGTAATGATTTTATTTTATTTTTTAACATCTTTATTGGAGTATAATTGCTTTACAATGGTGTGTTAGTTTCTGCTTTATAACAAAGTGAATCAGTTATACATATACATATGTCCCCATATCTCTTCCCTCTTGCGTCTCCCTCCGTCCCATCCTCCCTATCCCATCCCTCTAGGTGGTCACAAAGCACCGAGCTGATCTCCCTGTGCTATGCGGCTGCTTCCCACTAGCTGTCTATTTTATGTTTGGTAGTGTATATATGTCCATGCCACTCTCTCACTTTGTCACAGCTTACCCTTCCCCCTCCCCATATCCTCAAGTCCATTCTCTAGTAGGTCTGCGTCCTTATTCCCATCTTGCCCCTAGGTTCTTCACGACCATTTTTTTTTCTTTAGATTCCATATATATGTGTTAGCATACGGTATTTGTTTTTCTCTTTCTGACTTACTTCACTCTGTATGACAGACTCTAGGTCCATCCACCTCACTACAAATAACTCACTTTTGTTTCTTTTTATGGCTGAGTAATATTCCATTGTATATATGTGCTACATCTTCTTTATCCATTCATCTGTCGATGGACACTGAGGTTGCTTCCATGTCCTGGCTATTGTAAATAGAGCTGCAATGAACATTTTGGTACATGACTCTTTTTGAATTTTGGTTTTCTCAGGGTATATTCCCAGTAGTGGGATTGCTGGGTCATGTGGTAGTTCTATTTGTAGTTTTTTAAGGAACCTCCATACTGTTCTCCATAGTGGCTGTACCAATTCACATTCCCACCAAGAGTGCAAGAGGGTTCCCTTTTCTCCACACCCTCTCCAGCATTTATTGTTTGTAGATTTTTTGATGATGGCCCTTCTGACTGGTGTGAGGTGATATCTCACTGTAGGTTTGATTTGCATTTCTCTAATGATTAATGATGTTGAGCATTCTTTCATGTGTTTGTTGGCAATCTGTATGTCTTCTTTGGAGAAATGTCTATTTAGGTCTTCTGCCCATTTTTGGACTGGGTTGTTTCCTTTTTTGATATTGAGCTGCATGAGCTGCTTGTATATTTTGGAGATTAATCCTTTGTCAGTTGCTTCATTTGCAAATATTTTCTCCCATTCTGAGGGTTGTCTTTTGGTCTTGTTTATGGTTTCCTTTGCTGTGCAAAAGCCTTTAAGTTTCATTAGATCCCATTTGTTTATTTTGTTTTTATTTCCATTTCTCTAGGAGGTGGGTCAAAAAGGATCTTGCTGTGATTTATGTCATAGAGTGTTCTGCCTATGTTTTCCTCTAAGAGTTTTATAGTGTCTGGCCTTACATTTAGGTCTTTAATCCATTTTGAGTTTATTTCTGTGTATGGTGTTAGGGAGTGTTCTAATTTCATTCTTTTACATGTAGCTGTCCAGTTGAGACAGTGACTTCATTGGGCAGACCAGGTCCTCTCCCTGCTGCTCCAGACTCCGGCCCTGAGACCTGGAAGTCACAGGCTGCCAGGAGGCCCGGGAGGTGACCTCTGTTGGGTAGAGGGTCCGGGGAGTTTAGAGCCCCAGCTGGGGGGCTTGGGGCCTGGGATCTTGGTGGCAGAACCAACTGCCCAGCCATGAGGCAAGACTCAACAGACATCACGAAAGGTCTCAGATGCCTGCGCTTCCCTGCAGGAATCTTTTCCTAAGAAGCCTCAGGGCCGTTGCTCCTGGTGAGGAGTGGAGAGCAGTTACTTTTTCCAAAGCAAAGAAAAATCCAGACGTCTTCTGAGCCAGCCCTGTGCGCGAGCGGAGCCAGGGCTGGTGACAGGGCAGAAGGAAGAGCCTGCCTGCTCCCCCAAGCCAGGCGGGGCGGGGGAGACAGAGGAGAGGGCCCATATCCAGTCCCTTTGGCATGGTTTCCTCCTCACATGTCTTTTCTTCTCCTTCTTCTGTGAAATGACAAGGTCAGCATAAACACTGGGCTCATTCTGCTCCTGGCAGAGCTAATGATGTTGGGAGAAAAACAACCAGCCTGGGTCGGGGTGCCCGCAGCTGCAGGCAGCAGGAAGCCCACGTCTGCTGGTTCCTGGGCCGATGGCCGGAGTTTGGATGAGAAATCCTGCGCAAAGGGGCCGTGGAGGCCAGCTGGGGAGAAGGGAGGCGGGGTCTTTGGCACAAGCAGAGAGCTAGCGTGGCGACAGTGAGAGGTGGGGCCTGTGGCTCGCCGTGGGGAGCTGGTGTGGGGAGGCCACCACGTCAGACTGGGGCTGGCCCACGCCCCCTTCTCATTTGTCCCAGGGACACAATGCTCCACGCGGTAAACCATTTCTGTTCCACACATGCGGTGTGCTGGCCCCAGTTCAGGAGCCAGGCTGGTTCCAGATCGCTGGTGGGGGACGGAGGGGTGTTTCACTGACAGCCTTGTCAGGGCAGAGAGGAGAGGGAGGCACCGCCTCTGGCACATGCCTTAGGGGGTACCAAAAACATCAGTCATCAAGATAAATAATATTCTAATTCAAATTCTAAAGAATCAAAATCCATGCGAAAAATTACGATGAGCAAAATGCCAAATTTCTAAAGAAAGAGGGCCTGAGTATTACTGATTTTTTTCGCTTGTCTTAGGCCTGTGCCGGCTGCCCTTAGAGTGCCAGCTAGCAAGGTGCCAGGGCCAGACAAGGGAGGCGTGGGGCTGTGACGTCCACACCCCTCCCGTCTGTCCTAGCTGCCCAGAGGACCCACCTCTTGTCTGTGGGCTGGGGGAGCGGGGTGGGGGTGCTTCAGCTTGGTTTCAGGGCCGTCCTAAGGATCTGAGGTTTCGCTGCCAGGCCCACCCAGGTCCAGCCCTGCATCCCTGGGAAGTAGCCTGGAGTGGTCGGCTGGGGCTGTATCCACCGCAGGCTCCCAGGAGGAGAGTGTTCAGGTTGCTTTGGAGGGAACTGAAGTGCTGCTGGTTTTGCTCGTTCTTTTTTTCTTCTTTAATTTATGTATTTATTTATTTATTTTTGGCTGTGTTGGGTCTTCGCTGCTGTGCGTGGGCTTTCTCTAGTTGCAGCGAGCCGGGGGCCACTCTTTGATGTGGTGCACAGGCTGCTCATTGCAGTGGCTTCTCTTTGTTGCAGAGCACGGGCTCTAGGCACACGGGCTTCAGTAGTTGTGGCTCGCAGGCTCTAGAGCACAGGCTCAGTTGTTGTGGCACACGGGCTTAGTTGCTCCGTGGCATGTGGGATCTTCCCGGACTGGGGCTCGAACCCCTGTCCCCTGCATTGGCAGGCGGATGCTTAACCACTGCGCCACCAGGGAAGTTCTGGTTTTGCCGTTTCTGTTTCTCTGGTTCATCTTGCCTCTGTGACCTGTCGGATCACCTGTGGTCATCCCCCTATAATCTGCAAGAGTGTGTGGCCTCAGTACCGTTTTCAGTGGCTTCCCTGGGGGGATGGCAGCTTCTTACGTGGTTTTTCTAGAGCTCCTTGGGGGCAGGCCCGCTCCTACTGATGCTGCTTCCCCTCCCCTCCAGCCTGCGGCTGTGGAACCCCACCACAGAGTCATTCCCTTGGCATGGAGCTCTCTCTTTTTTTCCCCATAGTTTTATCATCTGCAAATGGGTTAAAAATATCATCTTTTTCCTTAAAAAAATTTTTTTAATGAAGTATAGTTAACTTTCAATGTTTCAGGTATACAGCAAAGTGATTCAGATACATATATCCTTTTTTAGATTCTTTTCCATTATTGGTTATTACAACATATGAAATATAGTTCCCTGTGCTATACAGTAGGTGCTTGTTGTTTATCTATTTTATATATAGCAGTGTGTATCTGTTAATCCCAAATTCCTAATTTATCCCTCTGTCCCTTTTCCCCTTTGGTAACCATAAGTTTGTTTTTTAAAATGATTTTTAAATTTTTTTTTTTTTTTTTTTTGTGGTACGCGGACCTCTCACTGCTGTGGCCTCTCCCGCTGCGGAGCACAGGCTCCGCATGCACAGGCTCAGTGGCCATGGCTCACGGGCCCAGCCACTCCTGCGGCATGTGAGATCTTCCCGGACTGGGGCACGAACCCGTGTCCCCTGCATCGGCAGGCGGACTCTCAACCACTGTGCCACCAGGGAAGCCCCCATAAGTTTGTTTTCTATGCCTGTGAGTCTGTTTTATAAATAAGTTCATTTGTACCATTTTTTTTGGATTCCACGTATAAGTGATATCATAAGATATTTGTCTTTCTCTGTCTGACTTACTTCACTTAGTATGATAATCTCTAGGTCCATCCATGTTGCTGCAAATGGCATTATTTCATTCTTTTTTGTGGCTGAGTAATATTCCAGTGTATATGTGTACCATGTCTTCTTTATCTGGTCATCTGTCAGTGGACATTTAGGTTGCTATGGAGTTCTATCTCTTGATGGCCACAACTTCTAGGAGACCTGAAATTGGGTCCTGGGAGCCACCTTGGAAGTTCCTGGTCTATTCTTCCCCCTCCCTCATCTGTGCCCTTCTGCTGGTGGGCAGGAGCGATGGGGGCTCTAGAGCCTGTACAGTTTGCCTTATGTGGTGGGTTTAGGGAGCACTTTTCAGGAGGAAAGCTGGGAAGGTAACACTCCAGGTGTCTTAGTCTGCCCAGCTGCCATCTGGGTGACTTAACCAGCAGACATTGCTTCCTCATAGTTCTGGACACTGGAGGTCTGAGATCAGGGTGACATCATGGTCAGATTCTGGGGAGGGCTCCCTTCCTGGCTTGCAGATGGCTGCCTTCCTGCTGTGTCTTCACATAGTTGCAGGGGGGGAAGGAGAGCACTCTGATCTCTTCCTCTTGTGGGGGCTCTACCCTCATGCCCTCATCTAACCCTAATCACTTCCCAAAGGCCCCACCTCCTGACACCATACACTGGGGGTT